GGAGCCTTCAGCTAGCCAAAACCTGACCAGCAAAGAAGCGGGGCGGTATGTGAGAACCGCAGTCCATTGGGAGCCGGTGTCCAGTTCATCGGATCATAGGCCCTTCGGACGGGGTCAGACGTCCAAGGTGAGCATTTACATCTCAATACCCGATCGAGCTGGTGACCACTGCCATAACCGAAAAGGTGTGGGTGTGATTCTTACGCCTTCTTTTGATTGGTTTGGAATCAGGGCTTTTAGCTAACTCCCTTAGATGAGCTACCAGTGGTCCACCAACCCGGTTATATCCCCGGATATCGGTTTTTCATCCTCTCACTTTGGTGTGGGAAAAACACTTCCGCCACGAGAAGGTAGTGAGTAGGGTTTCCTCAGCAGAGGCTATTCGAGACGAGTGGTCATACGACAGCATTTCGCTAGGTGAAAGGGCAGTGAGACCAGCCGCAACCCTAGACAAACCCCCGATCATACTGAGGGTTTTGGAGTGACACCATTGCTGTATGCATGGCAAAACGGATATTTATGAAACTGGCTTGATTCAAGGTCACGGAAAAAGAGATCGACGTTCGGATTGCGGTGTTTCCGAAGTTCACACCCAAAACACCGACCGGATGTGCTGGCGACCTGTCTGCTTTAAAAAAACTTTTCTATTCACAGTATACTAAGACTGTTAAATTGATAGAACTAAATTGTTTTTACGCCCCAAAGATTGCGGTTTAATGATAACAATCAAAGAAAAGCCAGGGAGTGGGGTGGGGGTGAGAGTGGTTGTGGCAAACAAATTCGAAAGCATTCTATCTGGGTTGTCCAATTATTGTCATACCGACACTCACTGTTCCAAGGAGCCAGTCATTACGGGACAGTTAGAGAATCATTCACAAACCCGGCAAAAAAAGAAAATGTGCCTGTACACAAATGAACATCGGTTGTGAAAGTCAGATCACAGATCGTTATGCTAGAGTCAGCTGCAAATTATTTTTTATTACACAACCAGTGTGCGATGAGCAGCAGACGGGGCGGAACCATATATAGTTACGAGGACCTGCTTGCTGTTCAGTCATGGAGACCGGAAGTGACGAGCCACATATAGGTTAGGTGTGGTATTGAACCGGACGACAGCAAAGCTGCCTACCATCCAAGTTGGGTGCCTCGTGACGGAGCTCGAACCTCGGACTATAGGGTCAAAGCACGCCGGTGACAGCGACTAAACCACTGCACAAACAGGTGACAGCAGTTGTACCAAACGATCCACAGAAGACATCGTCATCAATCCGACTGAGGCACTACTGTTGACATACGACCAAGATTACGTTTTCTTATACCATAGATTGAAGACTCGGCATTTGAGACAGCTTCAAACTTGGTACACACGAACGGTAAGGCCAAATCCGTCAGGATATGTCTGGCAATCAGAGGAAGGAGACCATCTGAAGTGATCAAAAAAAAACCACAGGACACGTTTCGATCAATCACATGGCGGTCAAAATCCCGTTCGTTTTTCCTCTGTGCCTGTTTCGACTACCTGAAGTGAGAAACTTCAAACTGTGTGTGTGTGAGAGAGAGAGGGAGGGAGGGAGAGATAGGCACTGCACGATAAATGTGTGTCACAACAAATGAGACCGAAATACCGGTGTTTTTTGCAGCCGTGCACTCGGATGGAGCCGTATTTCCGTGAAAAACGAGTTCGAACAGACAGCTAGCTCGTTCGGTCAACTCTGTGCAATCGTGTAATCTGGCGCGTTCGATTCCCATGACTCGGGCATTATGAATATCGGTCCACGATGTTCAACTGGCCACCCAAAATCACTGAGACTGCCCATTGTTATGTTGCGCGTTGGACGGTTAATTTTCCCACAATCCACGATGGTAGCACAGTTACATACGCACACATGGAATGACCAAATGTAGTCGAGTGAACGCATGGAGGAAAAAAGAATGGTTGGAGTAAGGGTGGAGCGTAAATGATCATCGTGAACACTGATCTACACATTATCCCTCCGCCACATGATGGATATGGCGTTAAGCGGACTGCGAAACGTGTGTGCGTGAATGCAAGGGGGGGGGAGGGTAATCTTTTTCGTTAATTCGTATATCCCGCCCCTCCCCTCCCCCCTCCCACAAAGTGAGGTGGTCGTGGAGGGCGGGAGGNGGTCGGGAGGGGGGGGGGGAGGAACTAACGATTGTCCCCGGTACGCGTCATAAATCGTCCGGAGCGGCGGGCACCCGGTTGTATACTGTCTGAGATTCTCACAATTTACCTCCCACGATCAACCGGACATTAGTAGTTATGCGTCAATCAACGGAACTACGCGCGCGTGCGCACGGGAAGTCGAGCGCGCGCGAAATGTCATACCGACACACAACGCTCGAAAGGTTCATGCTAACAGGCTCCGGCAGACAGAACTCGTACACACACACACACACACAGAGTGATGAGACTCGTTTTATCCGGAAGATTCCACATTCACATTCGGACAGGTTAACGAAACGCGATAACTGATTGACTGTTTGATTGACTGGCTGGCTGTTCCGCGGTAGAAATATCCGACACAAAGGTCCGAATGGGTGGGTACAAGATTGTACAAAACGGTGTCATGGAAAGTATGAGCCATGCAAATGTTGCAGAGCTTGGCGAGAGGGAGAGTTGGCTAATTCAAAACAATGCGTGTACATGCGTGTTCTCACGAGTGAAACCACATTCGTTGACATACAGCAGATGGAAAGATTAGGATGAAAGAGAGCCAACCAACTGTATTCATCACATATGTGGTTTAAACTCGTTTGTAGAATCGTCAACCATGCACTATCATGCGCCGGTTTTGGTTTCTGCCGTCTGCTGGCTACCGTTTGGATGAAGGGATAGAAGAACGACAGGGAAGTTGAGAGTAGAGTTGAAGAGAAAATTGAGAATTGCATTAGACTAACGTTGCCAAGAAATCGAGATGCACGAACGCCATTGTTTGCGACGGGCAGCCTTATCATTCAGTGTCTCTACTCTTTGGTTACAATGATCCCGAAATCCTCATGCAGGGATTCTAAAGCGACGTAAATGATCAAGTCTTAAGTTCAGGGTTTTCATTCCCTCGTGCCAGGTTTCAAGTTAACCATTCCAAGCTTTCTTCCACCCACTACTTGCCTCGGCAAACACCGCTCACCATGACAACCTATTTGGCGGCGTATGTACCAACCAACGTAATCTATGGAGGTCGATCACTTACTCCAGTGGGTTACCTAAAACTTTGCGCATTACTCGTTCGGTTACCCCACCAGACTCGTGCAATGCGACGGTGTTCGAACACGGACAATCTATTTTATCCTGTCTCTGAACCGTAAAGCAGTCACCGAACTGCTGCTGCAACTTTTCACAGACAGTCGGATGTCGCGACGGTGCCACCGATGTTTCAAGTTGGCACATGCCAATCGAATCTTCTGTATGCAAGCTCGCACATCATTTGTGATGTGTCCACCGGGTGAGATATAGCAGAGTAAATAACAATATTTGTTCGTTTGCTCTATTACTTTCCCATTCAAAGTGAGGCTTGGTGCTGGATCAACTCAATCACGTAGCAACATTTTACACTTTGAAAGGTGCAAAACGCATACGAAACATGGTTATACTGGCACCATCCAGAAAAGCTAGCAACTTATCTGGATCTTTACTTAGCAGCACAAAGTCGTCTGCACAATCCAGATCAGACAGTTTGCCACCTGGGAGCAACTCTCGCACGAGGACAGATCTGTTTCCATAATCAAATCTCTGACAAAATTATTATAAACGGAGAGGAAGAGAGAGAGTAACCCTGACAAACACCGCTTTCTGCGATGAAGTCAGGCGAAAAAAATACCGTACACTCGAACTTTTCGTCGGCTATAGGGTTACTAGTCCACCACGCGGACGCAACATCATACATGCGTATATCTCTAGTTGAAAGATTATGCGTGGCTCATCACCTGCTATCCGAATTTTGGGACTTTAATGCCCGGTTTTTTGTTGTTCACAATTGTACACTGCCGTATCGCGACGGGGATAGGAAAAAAGAAGCCGCCGCCGCCGGTGGCGGCGAACAACAACAATAACAACAGGGACACAAATGGTACGTACATTTGATCGGAGTGAGGGAAACGACAATGCGGGTAATATGATCGGTCATCAGGCAACTATTATATAGTTAGTGTTCCAAATCCCGTTTATCCCCCCGCCCCGCCCCGCCCACATTTCTTATTTGGATTCAATCGACCGTGGTTCAATTTATGAACACCATGAATATTCATTTCTTGTAAATCAGATTACTGGGGGGGGGGGGGGGGGGGGGGCGGGTGCGAGAAGAGGTCAATTTTATTGAATTTTATTTCTGAAGCTACAATCAGAGGCATCATTATTTGTACTAAGCTCAAACTTGGGCATAGAAATACACACACTATTCCTTCGTCCCGAGGAGAACCTTGTAAAGAAAGTCATTGCCAAGGAAATATGGATATGAAAAACAATTCTCTTTCTAGTCGTTTGATGAAATGTGTGACCCGTATTTCAGTCGATCCAGTTGCAATGACGGTCAATAGCATTTTTATAACCAGGTTATCGTATTCCCTTTATGGTTCGAAATTATCTATTTATATATTTATCATGCTATATGAATATACGTCCACGTTTGGGAGAAAAAAAAAACTGAATAATGAATAGTTCATTTGTTAGGATACATACGTTAATTTACAAACCAGAGAGACATGAGAAAGCAGGACTTTTTCACTATACACACACACTTGTGTGATGAACAGCAGACGGGGCGAACGCCATAGTTACGAGGGCCTGCTGTTCACTTATTGAACACGGTGACCTTAAACCCCGGCCTTGGAGTGCGGAACCATATAAGGCCCCGCTAGGTTAGGCATGGTATTGAACCGGACGACACCAAAGTTACCTACCACTCAAGTTCCGAGACAGTGGTGGGTCTCGAAACTCGTATCAGAGGGTCCAAAGTACGCCGGTGATGTTAACTAGACCATTGCGCACCACCACCCTGGAGGTAACGGGTAGCAGGAATTTAGCAGGGGAATAATATGCAGCGATTTCAACTGGCCGCGAGATGTTAGACAAATGGAGACAAAGCAGCCTACCGAACGGGAACGGAAACCAAAACAGTAACAGTAAAAAATAGAATTCATAAACAAGAATCCGATTGTGGTACGACAATCACGCACACACTTGCGCTGAGATCGATGTCTGTGAGCGCGGGTAAGTTGATAAAACAGAATTGTCAACTCTGTAGTTTGGATTGGAAATTCATCAATGGAGAGATGAATAAAATCAGCTTTTTTTAAATAAAAATAATTTGCTGATAATATGATTGAGAACAGGTCAAATGAAAATAGGGTATTTTGCCGGTGTGGATTCAAACAAGAGAGAAACAGTGTTCAGTCTTTGTTCGCCAACACAAATCAGAAATGATTTGGTCAATTACGAGTAGAAAAGATCGGAAATTCCTCGATGGAGAACCGGTTTTCTACAATCTACACCTGACCGAAGAGGACAAGATTCCTCCGGGTGTATGGTCACGACAGAAACAACATGGACAGACGACGAACATAAGTTTGTTAATACGATAGCTACACACATGCACACACACAAGCACTCGTTACACGCACCAAAGGCGATTAGGTCGCAAATGATCTGAACGTCAGTGGGTGGTCCACATACTATCTCGGGCGAGAAAACCGGTGAAGCGTTCGGGACAAATGTCCGACTCCATGTGTGAGGGATCATTTGGACAGATTTGTTGTGTTGTGTGCCGGGGACCGGACAGCCTGTTTTAATTTCTGACCCACAAAACCACACACGGACCCGAGAGAATCGGTTTGGGTGGTGTTTTTGCTCGGCGCAAAAACTCCGATGCGTATGTTATGCACGTGCCACCCAAGAAGACCGCCCATTCAGCATCAAGCTGAACACTGGCGCGCCTTTAGCATGCAAACACACACACTATGACCCAGGTTGTGGATGTAGGTAGGCGCCACAGAATGCGACGACACCCTACCGCATCGTGCACTGTGGTTCCCGTCGCGTATTCGGGGATGGTGGTACGATTCCGCGTGCAGAGACGCCCGTCTGGAGCGTCGACAAACAAGCGGAGGTCAGATTCACACACCATCGCGTCACGATGATCATCATCACCACCACCGGACTGATACAACCAAACCGCGAGTTAGACCAAAACGATAATTGGGCAAGTCAAGACGTGCCAGACCAAGACTGAGTGTGTCGGTGAAAGCACACGAATACCAATACAAGCTGAAAATTCGTGAAGGGAGTGGGGGGGGGGGGGGAGGGCAATTGAAGCTATTTCGTGGTGGGCGAGCAAATGGGTTGTTGTTCTGTTCCATGCCTCGTGTGCGCAGGATTATCCCGCATGCGCGTTTCTATACTGCCGGGGTGGTCCTATTTACGCGGTCATTTAGCCGAGGGACACTTACGGGGCAAATTATTATCCCCGCAACACTCACCAGGCAGGTAGGTCCCCAGTGAACGTCCGGATGATGATGTGAGTGTGCTCGCCCTGAAGAAGTTGCCAGCGTGGTAAAAGCCCCAGGCAACGACAGGGAAAACGAGCGTGACACGGAAAGAAGGGCAGAAAAGGAAAGGCGGGTTTTTCAATACTGAGGTTTTTACTATAGAACGTCTGAGCCGAACGTCACACATAGTACAAATCGAACCACAGGAGGAATAAGCGATGCTGTAAGGTCTATGAGAATTTATC